TTATGATATTTCCCTTTCTTTTCCTATACCTTTGATTTGATATAATCATCTGGGTGAATCCTGACATTAGGGTAAACAAAATCAAGCATCCACTTTATAGTTACGAATCTCAGCATACATATGCAAATGGAGTTTGTCAATTCACAGATTCTGGCCTAAGCGTTCCTCTCTAGATTGATGATTCACCAACTCAGGCCCTGCTCTTCTTTAAGTGAATAATTATGTGGTGTATAACTTTCTTTTTTTTAATTTTCTCTTAATTATTTAAAAATTTCCAAGTGTGTTTACATTATAAGTTGTATAATCAAACTGTTACTTGTTCATAAAATTTTTAAATCTCTCAGCCATTTATTTGGGTTTCAAGATATTCCAACTTTTCCCCCTCAGTATTAGAAGCAGCTCAGTTAGTGACAATAAAGACTTATTTCTAATATACATATATGTTAATTTTGATGTACTAAATAGAGGCTTTGCACACAGGTCAGATAGAGTCTCATAAATGCATTTGGATAGTCATTGATATAGAAAATATGATTTTATAAGTCAATTATTATTCTATACTCTGTCATAATAAAGAGTGATATTTATGGTATTATATGTAAATAAATTATATCTTATAATCTTTATTAGTAGTCTATGTTTTACAAAATTGTCCCTCTGAACTAAAACACAATTATAGCTCTACAATTAGAACATACAAATGATTAAAAACATCATCAACTAGTAAACATGTAAGTATAACATAACTTATTTTGAAAATTTGATATTTGGTGGCTTCAGTCAAATATATGTAAATTTAATTTTATTTACATTAATAACTGCTTTGCCCAACAAGAAAACATAAAGCTTTAAGAATATTCACACATTATATATTTTAGGATTGAAATTATTGTTTCTCCCACGTATTCACTCACATTCTTCATATTTGCACACGTACATAATGAACTATTAGTTACTAGATTTATATTCATCATAATCTATTCGTTATAAAGACTTGACATTTGGGCCAGTGAGATAGCTCAGCGGACTGTGCTGCTTAGGCACGTGTGGAGACCACGTTTGATCCCCAGCACCACAAGCAGCATGCCCGCCCCTCCCCCTGTCCCCGGCACCCTGGCACACTGAGCCGGCCACCAAGACCGGGTGTCATGGTGCATGCCTGTAATCCCAGTGCTGGGGAGGCTGAAAACAGGAGGATCGCTACGAGTCTGAGCTGCGCAGTGAGATCCTGTACAAAAACACACGAATTTA